AAAACTTGAAATGGTGAGGAGGCAAGTTTTGACCATATTTTTTTTTGACTGGCATTCTTCTTCTATTTCACAGGATGCGATATGCCAGTGTTCTTTTTTCTTTGCTTCAGCTCGAAACAGTTTTATTACCTTACAACACATTTATCGGCACTACCGAGAAAATCGCGAAATGTCATGAGATATTCCATCGTGAATACTGTCCCTTACGCGCCACGTTGTAGAAAGTGTAGTGCCAAGTGTAAAAAATTACCTCTTCTCTTCTACCGTATTGTAGACCATTAAATATATTTCAGAAACTCAATCTTGAAATATTTTCAGCAAAATTCTATTACACTGTGACCTGAACAGTGACAATAAGGTGTATTGCATATTTCTTATTAACACACCGGTTCAGTGTATCTCGTAATCTCGTTGAGTTGAAGTAGAGAGATTCGTTCGTTGTACGTCACTGCTATTGGTTGGAACACTTCGGACGGGAACATTTAAATTTTCCAACCGTTTGAAGCCATAGACAAAGTGTTGGTGCTCTGTATTTGAAGCTGAATGCGTCGTCGCTCGTTGCCTCGTTGTTACTCAGAAATACTCGTAATACTGGATGGGTGGCTGCTTTTGGATGCTTTGTTTTATTGACTGATATCGCGACAGTGGAGTATTTTTTTCTTTATATACAATTAATTAACATCTCAATTTCATTAGTTCATGTTTCATATTGTCGCTTTCAAGAACTAGAATGAATAATACAAAAGATAAAATTATCCCTGTGAAAGTTTATGTTAGGGTGAGGTAAGGAATTTTGACAAATTACTTAGAATGTACTTTTTGCTTGTTTCCTGAAATTTGCACAGTACTTCATTTACAAATGTGTATATTCTCAGTGTTTATATTCAGTTATTTCTATTTAGTATTGACTATCTGGAAGTGGTGATCATTAATCAAAACTAACCAAGTTTTCTCAATTTTCATTTTTTAATTTATATTTATTTTGCTATAGTAATAGTATGTATGTTCTTAAGAATTTCTCCTACTGTCAATTTGATCTGATGTTATTAACGTATACACATGACAAGCTAATACTGAAATTTTATTACAGGCCTTTAAATGATGCAGAAGTGTCTCGTGCTTCTCGAATTATAGTGGACTGCCCTTCAAATAGCAGAGAAGTTGTTGTAAACGAACGACCCAATGATAAAATAACTAGGAAGTTCACATTTGATAAGGTGTTTGGTCCTAATTCTAAACAGGTACATT